TTTCCAGTCAAGTTTAGAATATCTCCAAGGATGGAGACTTCTCAGCCTTTCCAGGCCCATGTCAGACTACCTGCATGGTGAAAACGTTTTCTCCTACTATGTAATCATAACTTTCCTTGCTGCAACTTGTACCCATTGATCGCACCCTTTCACGGTGCACTTTCAAGAAGAATCTGTATTTCTACAACGTTCAGATGTTTCGACTCGCTCCAAGTCTGACCTAGTAATACAGCCAGATCTGCAGAGGACAAATGGAGCCTGTTACTGAATTTAAAGGAGCTATACTGCTTTATCAGCATGGAGAATCTGGCCCTTCCAATGTCAACAGTAAGGCAATGTATAGACAGCTGTATCTCCAAGCATCTGCAAAGGCTGACGTATTTAGCTGCCTGGTATTTTCAGGCTTGGTTTCAGCAGTCGGCTAACCTGCAAATGACTTTCACAGAGCATAAAAGCACACTTGAATATCCCCAGCTTTTACATAGAAAATAGCTCAGGAAACTCAGACAGAGTCTTATTTCCCCAGAGACTCTAGAGCCACGTTTGTAAAGCCAATGTTACACTTCCAACACTTTCTAGTCTTATATCTTCCACCCACATTCTTTATTAGACTGTAATCCTGAATGCTGTTGTTTGCCATGGGATCTCTAAGCTAAGGTCCCAAGGCAAAGGGAAGTATCAAAGCTACAGTCAGAGAAAGTTTCATCTTGCAAGGGAAAATGTTAACATACAGTCCTAGATTTTTCTATTTTTTCATAGTTTTTTCTTCTAAAAACAAAAATAGAATGACTGATTACTTATAGGAAAAAATGCACTCCTCTAGATTTCCTACTGGCAAAAGCCTTGATTAGTTCACAGGAGTCTATTTTGTTAGCAATTTAATTTCATTTCCAGTTGAAATCAAAGCCTGTGCTTCAGTCTCTACTGGCCCATAGCTGACCTCATGTTATTGTATTTTGTTTAATCTGATGAGTTTCAGCTTTGAAAAAATCTGGTTTCAGTAGGATTGACACTTCCAAGCACTTACATAAGATTCTTGTCTGTAAAACAGTTCACCTTTCAAGCAGGAAAAAAAGTGAGGAATGTAAAAGTGAACTGATGGGGGCTTCTTTTGTCTGTCACCAAGTTATCTCAGTCATTTTCGTACCAAAGAAGCTGATATGAGACACGAGAAACTCACAAGCCTATTCTTTCTGAAGCTGTGCTCTCTAATCCTGGACACTTCCTAGCTGCCAATGGGACAGAGTACAGTAGGAGAATATCTGGCAGATCTATTCCCCATCCCGTCTCCAGCACAATTTAAAATACTGTGTGGTTCAAGGCAATGGGTCCAGCTCTCAGGTACCATAAGATGTCCCAGCTCTAATAAATGTTTGTTCCCAAACTTACACCAGCTGTGCCCAGCCTTTGTCTTCTCATTCTCATATATTCTTTTGTAGGATAGAGTTTGCAGCTCATGATCTTGACTACCGAGTTTGTTACACACCTTGGCCCTGTACAGATGGTATTGCATGGCTTGTAACAGCTGATTTCCTGAGTCATCTACCCTGACTGATCCAATGGACTCTGCACCAATCCTTCTGCCAGCACCCACAACTAGTTAAGCTGGTAGCCAAGGATAGATATCCACATTACTGTCTCTGTCTCCGGTGTGTGTGAACATCCTCTCTATGGAGAAATCCTACAGCTAGCATGGCCTAATAAAGTAAAACATTTCTTTCTAATCCAGGTAGTATTCTCTGGTTTGGGCACTAAAAGTCTTGGCCTTAGCTTTGATTCCACATTACAAAGAGGAGGTGATGGCTGTCATCTGTGCTTACAGGCAAGAACTAATGATTGCTGTTTGTATGGTGCCCACTGCGATGACATCTGATCCAGCTGTTCTTTGGCATTCACTTCAGTCCCATCATGGTCCTCTTCAGTCACTCCATTTCTATAGAGTCTAGTTAATGTATGAGACAGAAGGGTTTATACTGGCCTAAATCATTATTTGCTGTATTCTGATGGAATACTAAAATATACTTTTATTTTAATCTGATGTGACATCTTATATTTTAAAATGTAGACAGCTTCCTTCTTGCTTTGTATAGTCATGAAATTATATTTCAGTTCATTGATCTAACATATTTAAAAAGGGGGGGGGGGGGGGT